TTAATATTTTTTTTCAGTTAAATATTAATTATTACAATTCTTATATTCCCCTTTCTTCGTGCAGCGATCTCATCTAATAAATTCTATAGTTATTGCACGATAGTCTAAAATCCTAATCTGTATATCGCGTACGTTTTATTAGCAGTAAGCTGAAACAATATTGCAACGAGATTGTTAAAAGCATGTGTCCCGTCATCCGAACGAGACTCAATGGTTCCATAGATAAGATAAAACGTAGTTGCGCGACAGATTGTGATGCTGCAGCACGCACGCTTAACAGATTGTTCTCAGGACGGGGAGTATTATCAGACAAAATAAAATTTCCTTTAGAAATAAGGATGCGATTTGTGCTTGTTATAATTCTTGATTAGAAATTTTCGCGAAACGTGAGGAAAATTATTTTAATTTAAAATTTCAATTATTTGATTTTAATTTAATTTTTTTGTTACTTTTACAGTTTATTTTTACATTTTATTTTACTTATTTTATTTACTATATTTTTACAGTTTATTTTTATTTTATTTTTACATGTTGTTACTTTTATAATTTAATTTTTTTTGTGACTTTACAGTTTCACTCTTAATGCTCTAATTTCTTCAAATGCTATGTTTTTTACAAGCATATTCTTGATATGTAATATAATAAATATTATAACTTCAATTATGCATTATATGATGTATCGTTTGTGCCCATAGGATATACCAATTATTGTTCGGAAATGGTCAAACCACAAGAAAGGTTTCGAAGGGTCACATCACATTTTATAACGATGATCTAGTTTTTGAGCAGATGCGAATAAACTAGAGTTATAAAATGCGAGGAAGAATGATCGAAACGGAAACGAGGTTTTGTTTTTTTTTTCTCTTCAGTGCAATAAACGAGACGGACGAAAACGCGCGTGAATCCTCAAACACATCAATCCTTTAAAAAGAATCGTATAACAGACTCTACTAATAACTACCTGGTCGTAACTATTCGCCGTTTCAAGAAAGGGTTGGTTTTATGACACGCTCAAGCTATTTAACAAAATAACAAAAAGAAAATATAAAATTAGATAAAAGAATATAGAAAATATATAACGCTTATATATTTTCTTTTTGTATTTTTCTTAGACAAGAATCCTAAATTCTTTTCAGTCGCCTAAATCCTTCATATTTTGCGCCAACCTTTTTTTTATTCTTTTTCATTTTCGCGATATATAACTTCCAATTTTATTTATTATGGTAAATTAGCGTGACGATTTTCCTCTTTTTCCTTTTTAACCATCCAATGAAAGGACTTTCATTGGATCCCTTTATAACAATACTTTATCTAATAACTAACCGTTATAACTAGTTTTTTTTTATTTATATCAAATTTATTCGCATAAACTATCAAATTTATTCTTTATAATAATTATAATATAGAAAAAATAACACTAGTTTACAAAAAATATTTGTTTCCATTATCATCCATTATCATTTAAATCAGACAGTGTTTCTTATAGATTTTCAGATGTTGAAAACTATTCCACAAGCTAATTCTCACCAGTACATTTCCGAAATAATTGAGATTTATAATATACAAAAAATGGTAAAAATTTAATGAGCAATTAAAATAAGACATCCTACATATAAATATACATTTAACGGAATCTATCACGATAAGTTACACAATATGTGTGTGTATCAATAATCCTAAACAAATTATAAGTATAATTATATTACTTCATAGAATATTTGCTATCGTCAGCAAAACTCTGTATTTAAATCCTTTCTAACATGACTAAAAAGTAAGATATTGAAATAAAAAAATGCATATAGAATATGAACATGAACAATACATTCATGATATTTGATTAGATTTTCCATATAATGTTAATCTTTTTTTACAAAAAAACTCAAATATCGCAAAAAAGCTACATTTTACACATTAAACCTCAATTATTTTGAAAATCTGACGTAAAATTTAATTTGCGTCATCGTTTTCAGCACTCAAAAAAAAAATAAGAAACACTTTCTCTGATTGAAAATAATTTTTGGTTGTAGTGTAAAATAAGAGAGAGAGAGAGAGAGTGCAATGAAATAATTTCAGAAAATTTAAAATTCCTCGCATTTACTGTTCGAAAATTATTGGAAGATCTTCCCTTTTAACGGGGAAAAAAGAAATGTCTCTTGATATGTACAAGAGTTGGTTTAATTAACCATTTAATATGCCTTATCTTAAGAATATCTATTTAAGAATAAAATCCGAACAGAGAGAGAGATAGTTCTGCGCATTGCGCATTGCATTCACCGGAATATGCGGGCGAATGCGGCGTTTGCGGGCAAACGACTTCATTTCATCGCACCTTGATGGATCGTTAAGCCGGTGTTGGCGTTCATACGGAATTATCTCGTTCTATCGAGGCACGACTGGTAAACGAGCCGGAGTTTCCCGGTTAAATCACTCGTAGAGTTAATTGTTTTCACCATACCCTATCCCTCCCCGTTTGTCTCACACACTTTTACGTACATATGATCATTCACAATAATCTCATCAGCAGATAGATTGACTGATCGATGATCTTTATTAGCTTTCTCAATTATTTGTAATATAAATCTGATGTACATTCATCACAACATATTATACTTTGATGTTCGCCTGAACGGCTCAATTTTTTCATATCGTTTTATCTCAGCCAGAGTATAAGGCATCCTATATATTTTCACTCTTCCGTAAATTTGCTCTTCTATGTGCATTCGTTGTTCTACGGAATTATACTATGTCCTTAGTCTCAGTCGTGTTTATCTTTCTCACATTTTCACTATTTGTATCCTGTTTCTTAATTGCTCGAGTAACATGTTCTTTAAAATTTTTTAAATGAAAATAAAAGAGAAAAAGAGGGAGAGAGAAATGCTTTTTATAAATAAAATTTTACATATAGTACCTTATATAATTGTGTCGAGGTAAAAAATTTAAAAAATATATATATTAGATTAAATATTTTATATTTTACTTTCTAAACATTGCATTAATTCAATTAATTGCCGATGATAATTAGCAATTTTATTCATGGGCGTTCGCAGGGAGGAGGAGCAAAAAGGGACATTTGCCCTCCTTTGGAATCAGTAAAAAAATTTTAAACATTACTCTCCTGCTGAATAAACACTAAAATTTATGTGCACACTTAATATAAAAAAGAAATTGTCGAGACAATTTTGCTCGATATAGATCGACAGAGAAATGAGGAGAAAAAGAGAAATATATGAGAGGGATAAAATTTATAGGTTGAGTATAGGTTTATTATAATATAAATTTTGTAATATTTATATATATAATATTTTATTCATCTCATTCATTTCGTTCTTATAATTAGTATATACAAATATCACTATCGCTAAACCTGACTGAATATTGGGCAAAATGTATTCTGCAGATAATGAATAACAATTTCGCTCCTATGTAGTTGTAAATGTCAACATATACTTTGCATACATATATTTATTTCTCTTATGTATATACGTATATGCATATATTTTACATATACGTATATATATTATCGTATATACGCTATAATAATACATTTGCAGCTATATAATCTGCGCAGAAAAAACATATTAAAATGAGTATAAACATTATACGCACTATCATATAATTTTTTTATAAAGATTCGACCGTTTCCAGGCACGCAGATCCTAAAGATGCATACAATAGACTTGACACACTTGAAGCTACTTGAAGCTTACATGTATATATGTATATATTTTCACATTAGCGATCAATGTGTTCAGTTGTGTCAATTTCTCTATAACGCTATATTATTTATTATACAGCTATTTTATAATGCTATATACGAAATATGTACATACACAACATATATATATATAATACCTATATATAAATATATACACACATATATACATGAAATATATACATTAATTTATACAAATATATATATCTGTAATTGTTATTTCTTATTCACGTTACATTTTGCTCAATATAGTATTTTCTAATAAGAAAATCTAACTTCCGGTATGAGAACTACAATTATTTTTTCTATCACTTTTTTCTCCATTCTTATATTATGTACACATTCTATTTTATCCTATACTAGACGTAACGTAGTCATATGCCTTAACATTCATTGAACGCAAGTGTATCGTGTGTATTTGTATACAGTGCCTTGATTATATTTTGGAAAAGAAATTTAACATTGGATAACGCGTCCTTAATATATTTGATGTTCATCATATCTCAAACAATTTTGTCAATATAAAGTGTATTATAATAAATGATATAATGAATTTGATAAATGTCACATTTTATTAAAAAAATATATAATTTTTTATAACATGTGACATTTATCAAAAATCAATTATCGAACGTTATTATACGTACTTTACTTTTTTTGTTATAAATCATGTAAATTTTTTTTGTTATAAATCACGTAAACGTCTGCCACTCGATGAATATTATGGTATTTTTAATTCTTTTTCTGGCGATAAGATATTTTTATTTCTCGCATAAAAATTAATGCAGAAAACCTTAAACGCGATAGCTTTTCGTTTTCGAATTATGAGCATTATTATTTATATCATAAAATACAAGAAATTTTTAATAAATAAAAGAAATGTACAAAGTTTTTTTTAATGATAAAAGAAATAAAAAATTATTAATGGTATAAAAAAAGAAATTATGAAATATTTAGAAAATATATATAATGTGACACTTATTTAAAACTATAATTTAGCGACCTGTGCAAAAGAAATAAAAAATGAAGAAAAAATAAGATAACTAATGTTACATATAAAATAAAAATAATATAAATGTTATATACAAATATACAATACTTATAAGAAATTATATACATATATAGCCTTTGTTCCCTTTTATTAGATCTCCCTCTCTTCATTTCTCTGTGATCTGACAATGGAGCAAAATTTGTTCAAACATTTTTAAAAATTATAAATTATAAATATCTATTAGTTATTGAATTATGAAATTAAAAATAAATTATTTATTGTAAGAAACTAAAAGTAATTTAAATATTTTCAAAAAACCAATAAATCTTCAATTACACTATTAACTTAATTTTTAAAAAATTGAACAAATTTTTGTCTCAGAAAATTTGACAAATCTACCAAAAATAAAAACAGAAAACATTGTATATGCATGTATATGTATATACAAAACTGAATTGTAAATGCATTTCCGATCAAAAATAATAGCGTAAATAAAATTTGCCATATCATATATCGCCAAAAAATTATCGAAATCTCCCCGAGATATACATGTATAAGTCTTAAAATAAATAATAAAGAGATGAGAAAGTCGGAGGAAAAAACGTATGATCTAAAGTGGAAATTAATTATATAATAATTTATTAAATTTAATCTAAATATTAAACATTCTGTACATCAATGTGATCCGAAAAGGGAGGACTCATTTAATAATTGTTAAGGCATTGAATATGACATCTATATTACTCTATTACTTCCAGAGAAATACTTCGATCTCTCTACGCAACTGGCAGTAAAAGTTGATAGGAATCACCGTGTACTCAATAGCGGACACAAAATGCTAACAGAGAAACCATTTCTTTTACACTCAACTCAAAATGTTTATTGACTACCCAGCGGGCGTTGTTTAGAAAAAAATCTATACAGACAAAAACGCATGAATCACGTAGAAAGCTAACAATAAGCGAACAAAGATCAAGGCTATTCTCCCGTAAAACAGTAAATATCTCGCACCATATAGAAGCATCTCCTCCACACCTAACTTCTCTGCGTGATAGAGAATGTTAAGTATAAATCTTCGCGTGAAAAGAAAAAAATATCACAAGTCAAGAACCAATTACTTCTTATAGGGTTGGAACAACTCGGTTTTGTTCGTCGACGCCGTCGATGTCGTCGTCGTCGACGTGGGCGTCGACGTCGGCGTCGGCGTCGACGTCGTCAACGGCGAGGTCATCGACAAATTGTACAGATTCTCGGAAATAATCGGTATCGTAGTAATGGGTGCACTCATACCGTTCTGTGGTGGCAGCTTCACCGGCGACTGTTCCGAGCTCGCTGCTCCCCCGAGGCTGATCGACTGCACCGCGGCAGTGATGCCAGATGACGTCACGTGGCGCGAGTGGTGCGAGTGATGCGGCGTGTGCATGACGTGCTGAGACGGTTGATTACCGGCGGCGCAGTCGCACTCGCTGGAACTCGTATCGGAGTTCACCGGGCTGAGTTCCGACGTCATCAACGATGCCGGGGGACCGTATGCGATCGGGGAGGGATTGCTGACGGGGGAGAAGGCATTGCTGCTGGTCACGCCCAGGCCGAAGTGCAGAGGCACGTGTGACGGATGGGGCGACAGGATGTGCGGCGAGTGCGTCGGGTAAGAGGCGATCGCGGCCCGCGGATGCGGTCGATGGAGCGCGCTTATGGCGGTACCGCCGTACGGCGAGTAACGAGCGTAGTAAGTCGCGGCCGCGGACGCGTACGGCGTCGCCGACGGGGCCAGATGCGCCGTCGCTGGGAGGCTCGGCAGGGCACCGTGATAGGGCGCGATCGGCAGAGCGCCGGACGCCGCCGCGATCAATGTCGCGAACGCCGGATCCGAGACCATCGTCAACGGCCACGAGAAGGCCATTCGTTGTCGTTTGTCTTTCATACGTCGATTTTGAAACCATACCTGTAATTTAAAAAAGCGACAAATTTTTATTATGAAACTTTTTGGACGGACAACTACGGGAAAAATATATCTATTACAAATTATAAAAATTAAATATACAGAGTGAGTCCAAAGTATGTTTTAAAACAATTAAAAAAGATAGGTCCGTGAAATTCAAAGAAATATAATAATAGGCAGCATCAAATGATGATTTATTTGAACGTTTACAGTTTCATTGTTGTTCTTTAATACTTTATAGATACGCTCTACGTTTTTCCCATCATTTTCATTACATATCTGAACACGAAGTCTACATGATTAGCGATTCGCGCATTCGTTCGAAAACACGAGAAATATGATGGGGCTCTATAGTATAGAAACGAATCAATTTGTTTAAAAACAAACACTACTACAATTCATATAAATGTAAATGGAACGAAAGAAAAAAAGATTCTTAAATAGGCTTTAGACTTTCCTTATATAAAGAATAGGTATAATAAGTTAAAAAATAAAATATCAAAAGAAATTTATTTTATATAGGGAATAAACAATATATATTCATGACAACTAATCAGAATTTTCAGATAACGTGTTAACCTTTTTCACAAAAAAATCTCAAATATCGCAAAAGGAATTTTTTTTACATATTACACCTCAATTATTTTAGAAACCTGACAATTACTTATTCTTTATTTCAAAATATATAAAAGGTGCAAATATTATGTATATAAAAATTTCAATTTACAATGGTAACTATGATAAATCTATTTATTTATTTCTGCATTATTTTTTTACATTTTTATAAATTGTGTTCCAAAGAATGTCTCAAAATATTATGTAATAAGAAAGTTTTAGAAAAATTTAATAGAAATCTTGTAAGACTTTTGAGTGTAAACAGTTTTGAGATGTAAGAAGTTAGTTTGTTTTGTTTAATCATATATAGATTTTATATTACTTATTTATAAATTGCATTAAATAAAAAGGAATAAATATTCTATAACAAATAATTTCAGTGAATGAGATGAAAAAATTAATCGGCAAAATTTTTTTGTTTAGTTAAACAATAATAATTAAGAAAAAATAGTATGATTGGATTAAACAAATAATAAATGTATCAATTGGAAAAGATTAAAATAATTATTATAAAATATTTATATATTCGTGTTAATATATATTTTATCATTCTATTAATATAAATAATAATATTAAAACATTTCTCTGCGCAAAATTATAGAGATAATAATTTTTCGCTAGGGTATTTCATCTCGAATTTCGAGGAATCGCATCGCGTATCCTTCAAATGAGTATTCAGATACGTATTTATAATAGCGAATAAAGAATTCTCGGAGGCGGCGAACGATTATATCGATAATTCGTGCGGGACGTTTACCGTCGTTTAACACCTCCAAGCATTTCCCGCTCTCCTCCATCGCGTTTTACGGCCGACGAGCTTCAGCGCGCGAGATGAAAGAAATTAAGAGATCCATTAATGTCTGAGGTGGGTCGCGAGGCAGTTGCTAATTGAGCCGTTTAACACTTTTGCTCGACCGGATCGACTGGTCTCCCTCTCCGATACCGAGATCAGTGCCGTAACTAACAAAGCATATATATAGCGACGATCTCCGAAAGGTTAACGCGACTTTTTCGGCACATGTGTGTGTGTGTGTGTGTGTGTGTGTATTGTAAAAGTCTACCCTATTTTAGTCTATACCGCCCGTTGAGAGAGATCTCAGGGAGTAACTTTACGGTACTGCGCTGTATAAGAACCACCGCGGTGCTGAATCGCTTTTTAGGTTATAATCGCCGATCAAACATGGCCGCAGCTGACCGCGGCAAGAAATAACCGGCAGCTCTCGACTCGCAAACAAAAACGTCACTAATTGCTTCTATTAAGTGCTTGGTGTTAGAAGTCTCTATCTCTTATAGTGCAGTAGCCGTGAGAAATTATATCAGAATATACGTATATACACAAATGCAAATAAATATTTAATAATTAATCATTAATAAATTCAATTTATTTGCAATATATAAGTTATATTACATAATTTCTTCTCTAATATATTTTATTTTTTTCTAAGTATTTCTTAATTCTCTTTTTATCTTTTCAGAAATAAACAAATTAATATATATATATATATATATATATATATATATATATACGCATATTATGTATGTATATGTGTAAAAAAGTTTTAAAACATTTGTAAAGAAAATAATATTATGTTTGAAAAGAAGTTGAAAATGTCTATTATATTGAATTTATTAATCGTTAATTAAGTCAAGGAATTCCTTTAATGCTTTCTCGAGGTTTTGATCAAACACGAAAGCGTTAATGGCAAACGTTATTGCGTCGATCATAGATGAAGTCATTGTTTGTCGTACTTTGCACATAAACACATTCACTCATCTCCGATCAAAATGATTACAATCTAAATTCTCCGATTAATATCGATTTAAATGAAATGTTGGGAAATAATTTAGGCATGCTCTAAATTATTCATAGCTAGTTTTACTGCCCAAATTAATAATTACATTTGCATGTATTTCTATGGATCTGTTTCTTAATATTCTCACAAACTTATCCGTTTGGACAGAGACAACCTTTAACAGATTTGCTATATTTTTTCACTTATTTATTATCATTATATAAATCAATTTCTTCATAGTTTTACTTTATTAATGATTAGATAACAATTATAAATAACAAATTTATTTTTAAAACGATTTATACGCAATTTATGTGCAACATTTTAAGCAAATAGTTTGGATAATAGATTCCATCAAACCCCCAATGATAATTTCGAATTTTGATGCTCGTGGGAATTTTGAAGCAAATCTGACTAACTTTAAATGATCCTAAAACATACCCAAATAATTTTCCAAAGTTTCATTTTAATCGCGAAGCTAGACGATAACTCGCAATATATCAATGTGATTATGATAATATATATTAATGACGGGAATCATCAATCAATGATGATATTATTGGCAGCGATAAAAAATATAATAAAATTTGCGAAAACTAATTTGTAATTTTTTGAAAGAACTTTTTGAGAAATCATGTTCAAGACAACCTTCTCCAGCAAAATATTTCTATTTTCTTTTTAACTTTCCCTACCTTGATCGTAGACTCTGGCAGACTAAGTTGCGTAGCCAATTCGCATCTTCTCGGTCGGCTCACATAATTTTCTCTGCTAAACTCCTTTTCCAAACGGCTCAATTGTTCCCTCGTAAAGGCGGTTCTGTATCGCCGAACTGTATCCACTGGTGGATTTGGTGTCTGTTGTTGTTGTGACTGCTGTTGATGATGCTGATGGTTAGATTGTAAGTGATGCTGCTGTTGATCCTTATGCAAAGTCGGTGATTCTGTGATAAAACACACATACGAACATACGTTGAAATTTTTTTTTATCATGATACAATCTTGATAATGAAGAAACTGACTAATTAGAGCTAGATTGCAATTATCTCATAAATATTTCTTATTGTTCTTTTAAGAAAAATCGTAAGACTGATCATATTATTTAATGACGATACAAATAGTATCTAAGTTGCGAGAAACTGCTAAAAATTGTAAAGCGGTGAAAATATATGTAAAAGAGTGTAAGGCGACAAGTAATTTATAGAGCTGTATGTTGCGCTTTTACACTTTTTATTTATTAATTTTGTTTTTATTCTCTTTTGTTTTTTCTCATTATTATTTTATTTTTTGCTCAATTTTGTATTGGATATTTTTTAGATATGTAAAAGAATTGTAAAATTGTATATTGCATTGAAGCCCTTAGGGGAACAATAAAATATCTATCTATCTATCTATAGATAGTATCTAATAGTAAAATCAAATATTCAAAATGTAAAAATATACTCCACGCAATTAATAATTCGCATTTTGATACATAATTTCAGGCTCTTTATAAAATTCTTTTCTCTGCAAAGTCAATTAACTTCATCTGTACCTTGTATGTTTAGCTTAAACATCTGTAAATACGGTAAAAACACTAAATTATGCGAGATCAAAGAGCTCTATAAGTACCAGTTTCTTCTTATGTCTCATTTTGTTTGTATATATCTATGAATGGAAGTTTTCGAAGAGCGGAGAATTACGAGTTTCCACAAAGGAGCTGAGTATCTATTTTGGAAACGTCATGCAAATGTCTTTCTAAAAACGAAAATCGCTGCGTCGAGGACATTTAACAACGGGTGATCGTATTTAGGGATAAATGAATCAGAGATCATAAAGGTTTCAATAAAAAAAGGTGTTTCATGGTCCGCCTATTGCGCTACTAGTAATTTTTCTTCCGGCATGAGATCTCTTCGCGCAGCTCTTTTCGGCTTTTTTGCGGTTCACAGAATACAAACAAAACATCTCAAGATGAACGATTTGATTAAAGCGATATAATTTCGGCGTCAATTTTATTGTTTATGTATAAACGAAACACGCGATAATCATGCGACATAATTAGGGAACAATAAATTAAATTCATCGTTATATACACATTCATTTCTAAATATTAAAAATATTGCAAATATAAAAATTGAACGAATAATCAGCAAATTAAAAGCTGTATATTGACTAGGTTTTTTTATTTTATCTTTCATATTTGTATATATAAAACATTTAAAAATATTATTAAATTATCAGAATTATAATTTTAAATCATAATATACAAATAAATATTCTACAGACTTTTGAATAAATCGTAAATAATCATAAATAAAAAAGATAATACTTAAAATATAAAGAATTCATATAATTGACAAAAAAATCGAAGGACCTTGCTGTGTGCTGTTTCAATTGATTTCCAACAAAAGATTGTCGTAAAACGCTCTCATGCGTCAGTCATAAATAAATCTTTGATATTTATAGCCATTTCTCAAATTTACATTCTATTGAGAAACTGCAACAATTAACGTCTAAAATTTCTAAAAGTTCGAAAATTAAAAACGAAAATAAATAATTTTATATTTTTTATTAGATTTAATTTTTCGCGCTGGGCGCAAGAGACAATTTAATTTTTGCCTATTTTTAATTAGAAGAATGTTTGATAATGAGCTTTTGCGTGCGTTAAGGATTATATATGGGAGATATTTAAAAATGATATAAAATAAAATAAAAATTATGTAGATCGTTTCCACTTTGATATTAAAACTACTATCAACATTTGGATTTAATTCACTAACTCATTTATAAATTATTATAAAATTTCCACTATATTTTATGTATTTTCATACAATCTTATGAAAATTTGTTATTATGATCGATTATATTACACGTTAAAATATCGAAAAAATAGTGTCATCTCAATTTCAAATTTTTTACATGTATAATAAGAACTTTAAACTTTAATGTTGCAAAATTACAATAACATTTATTATTAAACCGTTTAGAAAAAAATAATTTGTTTAAACTCTGACTTTTTCTCCGATTATTGAGCATTACGGTTTAGTCAATGCTATAGAAACCGCTGAAAGTTAGGAAATTAAACTATAGTAATTTTCTAGAAAATGTAGATTTTTAGAAGATGAATAACGTGGCATTTTTGTCTCCGATTGTATTTCTTGTTCATCCTTAATACAAATCGACTGATCGTTTTATAACGAATAAACACTAACACGATGCCGTCGCTCCATCTTTTGAAGTTGAATGGTTCGCGTGGCGAGTAAGAAAGTCCTCTATACCGTTTTGCAATCTTCGCAATAATTAATAAAAATTAAAAAGCTCAACTGCAAAAAAACAGCCTGATATATATGAGGTTACTAATTTATGGACGCGTGAAATTCTAGCATTTACGCACGATTCGAACGCTTCTTCCAAAACGCGGATTGGCCGATCTTCTTCAATTATCTCATTAATCATTGCGAAGATCGCAAAACGATAAAGGACTTTTCTACTCGATTTAACCCGTTCTATCTGTATACTATAATATCATGAAACTTACCATTCTCGCCCGGCGACGTCGATATTTTGGACGGTGGGCTGTATCCGTACGGCGGTACCAGGTCGACCACTATCGTGTCTTCGTCGCCTATGTCGTCTTTTGGCTCGTTTTCGTAGTCGTCGTTATTGTAAGTGGAATGCATGTCGTCACTTTAGGGACAGAAGGAGATATGCATAATTAATTCACTTCATCTCGCGATGTATCACTCATACAAGTACAATAGGTATCACGAAAGTGCTCAAATAAATATTTGGAGATATTACTAGTTTACGTAAAATATCTTGTATGTAGAGCCAAAATTTTCAAAGTAAGTATAACAAGTCTCTATTAATCTAGACAAGTTATATAAAAAATAATATGTAAACGCCGTGGACAATTGACTCCAAAGTGCAAGGTTTTTGCAAAAGAATCTGCATGTAGATTTTTCATTAGCTGTCATGCAAGTTTAGCAAGTCACAATCAGTTATGATGTACACAAAAGAATGAATATAGAAATCAGCGTTACGAAGTTTTAGATTAGACTTGATTAGCTCGTGATATTTTATAATCGAAAGTATACAAAGTTTAATACATCAGAAGATATCGAACTAGGACTTTGTCATCGTCCTCTGTCTAATAAAATAAATTTTCAAATAGGGATGATAGCAAAGTATAGCAAGGACTATGGACAGCATTTGTGAGAAGAATCCGCAAAATTTTACATAAATTGTTGGAAGCTGAGAGAATTTATTATTATAGCAAAAAAATAAGTGAACGTTGACACGTGAATGCCGGCATATAAGATGATATTTGTCAAACTCATTTCACAATGGAACGAATTGCTCCCGAATTGCAAATAGATTTACTCACCGTATTTATGTTAGATGTGCGGATTTGGATAAATATTTTTTCGTGTGCGTACGGGAGTGTATGCAATATTTCACTTCGTTATCTACACTTATCACTCTACATGCTCTTGCCGAGAAATATATAATTAAGAAACAAATATATAGCACTAGTCGCACTTGTGATGTACATTTACGTATATTCCTATTCCTTCTTTTGTCCAGATACTTTCGTACAACACTGGTCTAGCCGCACAAGTCACGCGAAATGTTTTAAACCCGACTAAGAACTTGCTAAGTAAAGCATCTAGTATATATGTGTGTGTATGTGTGTGGATCTCCACCTCCACTAGCCAGCTTCTATGGTCTCTGATTGGCGAGAACTCCGCTCGTTCCGCTTACATCCCGTTGAACGAGGGGTGGAGCCTACCTGACACTGGTCCTGTGTGCACCACTATAGCATCACATATAGACTAACGGTGCGGTTGGATGGGCAGGCAGGACCGGATTTAGTTGTTTTCGAGATCCTAGACGCAACCTTTTTGGACATTCCTCTACTATTGTTATTTTTTCTAATTGTTTATTGTTTTTTTATACACCGACACTTTTGATAACTTTGACTTTATACATTGAAGAGATACTGATTAACATTTTATCTTAATCGCCGGTGTCGCACAAAGAACTTTGTCCATTTTTATAGGGGTTTCTGGACCCCAGATCCCAGAAATTAGACGTGTAATTAAATTGTAGAGCATGAGAGGATTGAAAGTAGGTACTAATATTCAAAACACCGGTCACAATTAGGACGTTATCAATGTTAGTGTATTTTGTTATCTATGCTCAGATGATGCTTTTACACTTAAAATAAACTAATGATTTTTTATTTTATAGTTGAACGTGACTTCCAGTATTCTTGTTTTTGTATTCAACTTTTTCCAAGTATTTCTTTTTACGTCCAATGTCTTAGACATAAAAATGATGCCCTTCCCATATCATGCTAGTTATTTGATATCTATGCTAAATACTTTTCAAAAAGTATACAGATTCTGTCTAAACACAGCAATGACGTATTTGTTATTTTGAATAGCTTTGATGATGAGCTATCAAACTACTAAATGACATTTTTAGGAGATCATATAGGAGGAGAACTATATTTTTGGCATGGATTTGAATCCAAAACTTCTTTTAATACTACTACTATTATCTATAAAATTATTTATGTTTTAATGACTGGATCCCGGGGGGCTAAAAATGAACAAAATTCTTTAAGATATTCATGTTAAAAAATTACTTTATTAAATATTACTCAGTGAATTCTAAATCACTTATCAGAATTAAATTTGTTGAATTCCAATGCGAGATTTTATTATATTTCGAAAACTGATTTTTTTATTGCGTCAACCTTTGTGTATTTATGACTATTAATATTGTAAAGTTTCTTATTGCCATTTCCTGTAATAATGGCATATTTAAAAAGGGATTTATCTGCGGGATCCCCTGTTAATGTCTAGAAACACCTATTAGAATCACTCTATTTCGTGAATACAATGTGAACTCCATGAATGGAGTTATAAATCTCCGAAATTATACCCTTAAACTGGTCAAAGAATAACAAAATGATTATATAGCCATGTGCAAATGTGAAACCTTAGTCACCCTTTTTTTCTCTATTTCTTTTATTTTCTTTTGTCCTTTAGAAGCATTGCTTGAAATTTTATTTGCAAATAAATTACGTTACCAGAAAAAAATCGTCAAATAGTGAACATTCGAAACGGACTACTCACTGGATGTTGCTTGATTTATTGCTTAATTTTACGTTACGGTAATAGTAACAAAGATATAATTAGAAATTTTATTATAACAAATATGAAATATATACATATATAATATATATGTATATATTATATATATTTATATATTATATATGTATATGTATATATTATATACAGGATGTTTCAGGAGGAAAGGTCATATTTCAGGAGGTTGTAGTATGGACAATTTTGAGTAAAAAAGTTCATATTAACATGTGTCCAATTTTCAATAGGTGTGGAGTTAGAGCAGTTTGAATATTATAAGCATCAACGAAATCTCACACAAACGAACAAGAGTATAAAATGACTTATTTTTGCAAAAAACTTACAATAATTAATGAAAAGCACATGAAGAACTTATTGATAAAATTCGTAATTCACAATCAGTCGAATAATTCACAGCAGTTCAAAGTGGGATTTTTGAAAATGTACTATATATATATATATATATATATATATATTATATTATAATATTTATTCTTTGATACACATGACGGAAATAATATTTGATTACAAACATCTGCATGTGATTATCTAAATAGCCTTGAAGAAAAAATAAAATCAGCAAAATAAGTTATACTATAAAAAACGCTTTAGAGAATTAAGATCTAAACAATAGACCTATACAGATCTTGAATAAATATTGAAAATGAGAAGAGCATCGTAAAAACGTAAAACTCTCAAGATTCGTTCATTCGTACATTTTCGAAGAAATTCTATCCTATTCTATTTTGACAAAAATTACAATAGAAATAATGAAGAGATTATATTGATTTTGCGCATTATTTGGATCGAGTCTATATGTGAAATTTCACAAAACATTTTATGAATGAAATAATTATTTATTGATAACAAAGGTGGTATTATTAAATAAGAAAACATTTAACTAATAATTGTGTATACGTTCATTCAATTAACTTTATGAAAATTTAATAAAAAAATTATATACAATTATGCATATAAATAATTTACACGTTCATGAAACAAAAAATTTAGACTTTTTTCCATTTTTCATTTATCATTGTACGAGACAAAAAGAAGTTTCTCGTTGAGAAGACTGATATAAATAAGGCAGCTAGTTTGAATATCTTCTTATATACATGCATTATATTAATAATTTATACTGCGAAACTAATAGGATTTGTATACATAAAAAAATTGAGGAACACAAATGGCTCATAAAGAAAATTACGTAAAGAAAAATACCAAAAATATGGATCAAAGTGTGTCTTGGTTTTAACAATTGACATCGTTATATATAACTTACCGTTATGTTCTTTGTCGGAAACGCGAGGGATACATCGTAAAAAAACTGCTCTACTTTTTAAGTGAATATATCCCAGATGTTACATAAATATATTATATACGAAACAAAAAACTGCTCTATTTTTCAAATGTATATCTGCCAAATTTTACATAAATATATTATATACCGTTTGTCATTATCATAAACTATGAGCGGCTATTAGGGAAACTAGAACTAGGTTATTTTTCTCAAAACGGGAAACTATATTTTTTTTCTTATTTCTTTATCTCGAGGGAGACCTTCTACAAGAATTATTAGTACCAACTAACGGTGTTTTAAGATCCAACAATACTGCGATTATTCGTTGCCCTGCCCGTGTAAGTTAGCGCAACAATGCAAAACCCACATGAATCCGTCACGAGCAAAATCTTCGAATGTATTCACAATTTAGAAAAAATTTCGTTTAATCTCTCTTCAAATTCGTTCGATCGACGATGTATGTTGAAGTGATGCTGGAGGACTTTGTCTGTAAAAATTTTACCGACAAAATGTTATTCTTGTAATTTTATTTTTATTTTTTATTGCTTTTATATATATAATACTAAAAATTTTGTGTACAATATCCGAGAACTTATTTGTTGCTCTTTTTTATGTTATTACTTCAATATTGTATATATTTTACGTAAATCTGACTTTTTGTTATTTTTTAAAGCTAAACCTCTAAACCTCTCAATTTTAAAGGTTTCTTGTCATTTTTTCGCGCACATGGGTTTATTTTGTGCACTTGCAAACTATGTAACTTTAATATAAAATAAATATTTATATCAACTGACAGCTTGTCGGTAAATTTTCCAATTTTTTTAAAATCAAAGATGACCATCCATTCCTTTCTTAACAAATGTATTTTAATCCCTGAAAAGGATTTTTAATTTTATAAAAGCAATAAAAAATAAACATGAAATGACAAACATTTCGTAGGTAAAATATAGAATAGGTTCAATAGTTTTCATTGATAATTTTACACTTTTTCCGCTAGCAGAATTTTGTATCCGTATAGTATATTTCGCGCACTTCTACTCTTCCCCTCTTTAGATACGTCAGTGTACACACGATTGTGCGCTTAGGGGAGGGAGAAAAGGTGCCGGAAGTGTGGAGGGACGAGAGATAATTGGCGCGAACAGCTCGGCCAGATGTGGTCGCGATCATGCCGCTGATTAAACGGTTTGATTAAGCGACTAATTTACTCACATGCGCGATGTAACGTTACT